TTTCGACATTTTTCCAGGGGCCTGATATTATTTCGGGGATGCGGTCCTCAAGTACGATCGGAGCAACATAACAGTAATGTTAAGTCGGGCCTGTCCTCCTACAGGGGGATTTTCGATTTTTCTTTTTAAAAAAAACAAAATAGTCCAGACATACTCCCAAAATAGTATGGGGACTCTTTGTTTAGTATTTTTTGACCTTTTGGGGGTATGTTGGGGGTATTTGTAATGTTTCGTCGAAGAGCCCCCTGTAGGGGGACACGCCCGACATAACAGTAAGGACGATCGGCGCCCCAAGGGTTACGCCTGCATCCTCGCCTCGTCGGCCGCCTGCGGCCCCTCCTCGACCACCTTCGAGGGCCGGCCCCGCTCGAAGAGCCTCCTTTCGGGGGAGCGTAAGACCCGGGTTTGCCAGGACTCGGGTTCGCCATCGTTTTTTGACGACCGCGCCTCGGATTTTGACGAGGAGGAGTTTCGTGGGATGTCTGCAGCGGGAGGCCTCGTCAAAATGCAGGCTCGGCCTCGTCATTTTTTTGACGACCTCGTCGGGGATTTCCGAGTCCCCCGTACCTGGGTCTTACGTCTCCCCGATCCTTGGCACGAGCGTCCAGGGCCGTTTGCAGCCCTATCGGCAACCGGCTTTCTGCTCCGAGCATTGTTCTTGTTCGTTCGTGCCTCGAGCATTCCCGGGTTCTCCGAAAGTGCCGGAGGGGAAAAAAACACACACACACAGTGTCACAAGCAATCGGCGACTCCCTAGAGGAGATGGGAAATTATGGGAAGTGGAGGGGGAGGCGGAAGTCCAGACCACATGGGGAGGTATGGTGCATCTTAGAATGTGTGCTATTTGCTTGTGTGTCCCTGGACCCCATTGAATCATGCCGAGGTGGGCCTACAGTGGAAACCCATGCCAAGAAACATCCAGCTTGCCTCCAGGGTGCCCTGGGCGTCTTGGGGTTCGACGGTGTCGCTATGGAAAGTCTGGCGTTCCCACACCGAAAATCCATGAACGTCCTGGGGTCTCCTGGGGTCGCAGGGTTTGGGTTCCCTTGTGGAGGTTTCTCGTGGACTGGTCCACGTTAGGGAGGAGTGAGGAGGAGGGAGAGAGGGAGGAGGAGGAGGAGAGGAGGAGGAGGAGGAGAAGGGCGAGTTTGGAAGAGGAGAGGAGGGAGAAGGAGGAGGATGGGAGTGGAAGGAGGGCGGAGGCGCAGACGGGGGGGGGGGCGAGTTGGAGGAGGAGGAGGAGGAGGAGGAGGAGGAGGAGGAGGAGGGGGAGTTTCTTGTCGATTTGGGCCAGCCCCTCCTGCATGGGAATGCCGGGACGGCCGCCCCCCGCCCACCTCCGCGGTGCGGAGGGAGGGGAGCAGGGGCGCGCGCCCCGCCGCGGCCCGTGCGCGCCTCGAGAAGAGCCCCACCGCGGCCCTCGCCGCCGCCGCCGTCCTCTCCGTCGCCGTGCCCGTCGTCGTCGCCTTCGTCGTCGCCGCCGCCGCCGCCGCCGTCGTCTTCGTCGTCGTCGTCGCCGCCGTCGTCGTCTTCGTCGTCGGCGCCGTCGTCGGTGTCGGTGTCGCTGTCGTCGTCGCCGCGGCCCTTCGTCGCCGTCGTCGCCCCCGTCCTCGTCATCGTCGTCCTCGTGCCTTTCGTCGTGTCTGTCGTCGTCGCCCTCGTCCTCCTCCTCCTCGTCGTCGTCGTCGTCGTCGTCGTCGTCGTCGTTTCGGCGCTTTCTGGGGACGCTCCTGGAGTTCCCGGGGCCTCCGTGCAGCCATTCCCCGGGGGCAGGAGGCCTCCAGGCTCGGCCCCGCTGCCGCCGCCGCCGCCGCCTGCGTCGCCCTGCCTCCCGCTCGCCGCCTGGCCCGCCGCTGCCTCCCGCTTCCCGCGTCTCGCCTCCCCGAGCGAAGGGATGAGCACGACGACGACGCTGAGTAGGCCCTGGAAACGACAGGGCCGTCTTTTTTTACCGGTTCATTTTTTCCGTTTTTTTGCCGGTTCCGACGCCATTTTTTTACCGGTTCCGTCGCCGTTTTTTGACCGGTTCCGGCTCCGGTTCCGATCCTGGAGCCGTTATTTTGCCGTTATTTTGCTGTTTCCGGTCGCCGTTTTTGTTGCCGTTTTCATTTTCAAGGGACATTTTTGCGGAAACGGTGAAAAAACGGCCCTGCCGTTTCCGGGGCCCACAAAGCGACGACGACGACGACCTGGTGGACGAGTCGGTCCCAGACCCCCTCGGGCCATGAGCAAGTCATTGCGGACGGTTCTTCGCAGTTTTCGGCCTCCAGGGGCCCGTACCGGGCCTCGGGGCCGTCAGCAGAGATTCTCAGGATGAGAAGCCGGCCCCGGGGAAGGGGTCGAGACCTCCGGGGGTCGCCGTTCTGAACAATCCATTACGTCGGGCTCTGGGGATCTGCATCTGAGTCTGACTCAACCGGGCCCTCCCCCACAAGCTGGGGCCCACCGACACAGCATCATCCGGGGAGTACAGTCGGCCCAGATCAGTAGGTGGACCCTGCAGGGCACCCTTGTGTCCTGTGTCTCGCGACCCGTGGCCTCTCGCGTGCCCTGCGTGCCTCCGGCATCCCTGTGGCGATGTTGCCCTCGGAAGTCAGAGCGTGAATTACTTACCCCGCTTTCGCTTCCAGGCAACACCAAGTCATACCACGCGCCTCCTCATCAAGCGGCCTGACCAGTACAGGCCGTAGTTTGGCATCGCTTGGTATCTCTTGGAAGCGAGGGTGGTCAAAAGCGAGGTAGGTTTGTTTGTCCCCTAGGAAGGGTCGTGTGTCCTCTCGCGTGTCCTGTCCAGTCAAGGCCGACTGTAGTATGCCGCTCTTCGGCGGTGTATATGCTCCGAGACGGCCTAGGCGGCAAGCGGAGGCCCGCGCTCGTGGGGTCCTGTGGGAGACAGGGGTCTGAAAGGAGCTGGGCCCCACCTGCTCCTCCTCCTCCTCCTCCTCCTCCTCCTCCTCCTCCTCCTCCTCCTCCTCCTCCTCCTCCTCCCTCCTCCCCTCCTCCTCCTCCTCCTCCTCCCTCCTCCTCCTCCTTCCCTCCTCCTCCTCCTCCTCCGCCTCGATGGAGCGCTCCTCTACTCCTCCTCCTCCACCTCCTCCTCCTCCTCCTCCTCCTCCCTCCTCCTCCTCCTCCTCCTCCTCCTCCTCCTCCTCCTCCTCCCCCCTCCTCCTCTCTTCTCCCGCTCGAGGCGGATGGAGAACGCGGCGGCGGGGGGCGAGAACGAGGATGGCAGGGGCAAGGAGACGAGGACGAGGACGCAGACGCGACGAGGAGCACGTCGAGTGGCGCGCGGGGAGGGCAGCCGGGCGAGTGCGGGGTGGGTGAAGCCAGGCGTGCGCGCGGCGGGCTCGGGGGCTAAGGGCCCAACGCGAGCGCCCCGGCTGAGTCGCGGCAGAGGGTTTCCGGGGGCCTTGAGACGAGGGTCAATGCAAACAGGGGCTCCTCCTCCTCCTCCTCGTCCTCCTCCTCCTCCTCGTCCTCCTGATCCTCCTCCTCCTCCTCCTCCTCCTCCTCCTCCTCCTCCTCCTCCTCCTCCTCTCAGTCAGAGCGCCAGATCTTGCAGGATCCTGCAGAGCCAGGGTTGCACTGACCAGGGCTAGGGCCGTCCTGCGGCGGGAGAGCAGGCGCTGGGGATGGGGGCACGTGCGGGGGAGAGGGCCTAGGGCCTCCGGGAAGCTTCGGGGCGACGAGGAGCAGTGGCGACGTCGGGGGGTCTCGGGATGGACGCGCGTCGGCCGCACGAGGGGGACGCGCGTGCTCTCGGAAGCCTTCGGGGATCAGCCCCGTGCGGCGGGCGCGTTCTGGGCCCGCCGCTCGGGCAGCGAGCTGCTGCGGGGTGCTGTGCTGCGCGTGCGGGCCGGTCGTGAGGAGAGGCGCGCAGCAGCGATGCGACTACAGTCGGGGCCCTGAAGAAGGAACCCGTTTGGTTGGGGAGGGGCTCCGTGTTCCTTAATTGTTTCGCAGCTTGCCTCAGGTTTTCCTTATGTTTTCGATGGGGAATCGAAGTTTAACTTCTCGAGAATAGGGGCCTCGTTCTTCATTTATCGTTCCTTAGGTCAACGCCCCGACTCTACACGCAAAAGAGTGGCCCTTCGCCGGAGCGACCTCGGGAGCGGGCCCACAAATGGGTCCCCCGATGGCCGAGCGCGATGCGACGGCAGCGTTTCACGCGCCTGTGTCTGGTCCCCCCGCGGCGCCCCAGAGGCCGCGCACCAGAGGTCACTCTTGCCCATGGGTCACTCTTGCATCGCAGCCGATTGATCTGTCCTTGTACGTGCCATTTCTCGCCGCTCGAGGCGGGCTGAAGCAGGCATCCAGGAGCAGGCCAACAACTGCGAGGCGCTGGCGGAGGCCGCGGCGGCCGCGAGAGCGAGGGGCATCCCGCGGCTGCAGCGCGCCAGTGGTCGGAGCTTCGGCGGAGGGGGAGGCGGAGGCGGAGGCAGCAGGGGGTGCCAGCTCAGCAGCGCCAGCAGGAGGGGGGGGAGTGGCGAGGGAGGGAGAGGAGAGGGATGGGGCAAACGAGGAGGAAGAGGAGAAGAAGTATGAGGGATGCCGGCGGGTTGCCCTGCAGGGGCTCCCGAGTTGCAGGTGCCAATGGTCGCGACTGGTTTCTGCTGATCCTCTGGGCCCCCTGATTTGACTTCCGAGCCCAACATGGCCGTGCCCTGGGAGGCGCGGCTCCCGCCCGCTCCCAGTGATCCCTGAGAGCCGCACACGTGGTAGCCTCGCTGACATCCGATTGGCCGTGCGGCAGTGCGCAGCACGAGGGGGAGGAGGAGGAGGAGGAGGAGGAGGAGGAGGAGGAGGAGGAGGAGGAGGAGGAGGAGGAGGAGGAGGAGGCCCCCCGCGCCAGTCCCCCCCTGCTTTGCCCCCCCCCCCCCCCCCCCCTCCGCCTGGGCTGCCGCCGCCCCCTGCTGCGGCCGCCCGGTTCGCCTCGGAGGTTCCCGCCCCCGCGCGGCCCGCCCCGGTTCGCCCTGGCGCGCGCGGCCCCCCATGCCCAGGGCGCTGGCGGGGGAGCAGGAGAGGATACGGGACCTCGAGGTGGTGAGCACCAGGGGCGTGGTGGACCTCCAGGATCGGCTGCCCTGGCGGGCAACAGGGGCGGCGGCGAGGGAGGGCCTCGTCGCAGGAGGCTCGGAAGGCCCCCCTTGGCCTGCTGAGAAGTGCTCCGAGCCTCTCCCGATGGCGCAGGGCACCTTGCAGAAGGCGCGAGGGCTTCTGAGAAGCCCCGCCGCCTTCTGAGAGGGCCTTCCTCTTCGCACGTCCCCCCCCTCGCTCGCCGCCGAGAGGAGGAGGAGGAGGAGGAGGAGAGGAGGAGAGGGGAGGAGGAGGAGGGAGGAGGAGGAGAGGAGAGGAGGAGAGGAGGAGGAGGAGGAGGGAGGAGGAGGAGGAGGAGGGAGGAGGAGGGAGGAGGAGGAGGGAGGAGGAGAGGGGAGGAGGAGGAGGAGGAGGAGGGGGGGAGGAGGGGGAGGAGGGGAGGAGGGAGGAGGAGGAGGAGGAGGAGGAGGAGGAGAGGAGGAGGAGGAGGAGGAGGAGGAGGGAGGCGGAGGAGGCGGAGGAGAGGAGGAGGAGGGGAGGGGAGGAGGAGGCGGAGGCGGAGGCGGAGGAGGCGGAGGAGGCGGAGGAGGCGGAGGAGGCGGAGGAGGAGGAGGAGGAGGAGGAGGAGGAGGAGGAGGAGCAGGAGTGCCGACCTCCATTGCTTCGAGACTTGCCTGGCTGCCCTTCCTGGCGCTTACGTGCGTGATCACGTTGCTCGAGTCACAGTTGCTGCTCGGCCAAAACGCGGTAGGCAGTCTCACCCAATCGCTACGGTCTACAATCATGGGCTTGGCAATGTTGAGGAGATTGAGGAGGCGGAGGAGGAGCAGGAGGAGGATGAGGAGGAGGAACACGCGGAGGCAGAGGAGGAGGAGAAGGAGGAGGAGGAGGAGGCGTCTCGTTCTCCGTCTGTCTGATACTGTTCTGTGCTGCCTGGCATTGGGTTCGGGCGACTTCGCCGTCCCGAGCTCCCACACCAGGCCCTTGCCTTTGTTTGACGCTGCATCCTTGTAAAAGAACGTTGAGCTTGCATCCTTGTAAAAAGAACGTGAACCTCTCTGGCTTGCCGATGCCGCAACCCTTAGTACATAGCACCTGGGATTCGCGCCGCGAAGGCTACCTTTCTGGCCTGGCGATGCCGCAGTCTTTTTTTGTTTCACAAAACACGTAGAATTCGCGCAGCGAAGGCGCACCTGCGTTCGGCGGCGGCTGGACGCAGGCCGTCTGACGCCGCGGCGGGTCGCCCTCATGGCCTGGCGAAGGGAAAACCAAAAGGAGGAGCAGGAGGAGGAGGAGGAGGAGGAGGAGAAGCGCAGGAGGTGAGGAGCAGGTGGAGTCGGAGGAGGAGGAGGAGGACGACGACGAGGCAGGGCAACGCTAACCTCTTGCTGACCTCTTCCTACCTGGCGGGCGCCTACTCCGTTCACTGCTCGTTGCCGCGTTACTTGCTTCCCTGCCCTCCCCGCGGCGCCCTCCAGGTGCCGTACGCGTCAGGTCGGACGTCTGTCTTCCTTTTCCGCATCTGCACGGGAACGCCACAGCCCTAGGATTCAGGCTTGGCCACCGGGAAACAGTCAGGGCAGCGCTACAGTCGGGGCGCTGAAGAAGGAACCCTTTTCGTTGGGGAGGGGCTCCGCGTTTTTTTTTTAGTGTTTCGCAGCTTGCCTCAGGTTTTCCTTAGGCTTTCGATGGGGAATCGAAGTTTAACTTATGGAAAAAAGTGGCTCTGCGTCCCTTGATTGTTTTACAGTTTGCCTTGGGTTGTCCTGAGGTTTCTCATGGGACATCGAGGCTTCACTTCTGGGAAAAACGGGGCCCCGTTCCTTACTTAGGGTTCCTTAGGGCAGCTTCCCGACTGTAGGGGGTGGGTGGGGTCAGGCTCAGGGGGGGGGGGACGCACGGGCACCCTATTCGCCCCTCGATCGCCGAGAGGGGCCCGCTGGCCCTTTTCCGCCCGGGATGGCTCGGCCTCTCGCTGTCGGGGGCCTCTCGCGGGTCCATCGGCGACGCATCGCCGGTTCCAGCTTGACGTTTCCCTCCTGAGCTGCCTCCCCCCCCTCCCCCTCCTCCTCCTCCTCGTCCTCCTCCTCCTCCTCCTCCTCCTCATCATCATCATCATCGTCTTCCTCCTCCTCCTCCGCCTCCTCCTCCTCCGCCTCCTCCTCCTCCCCCAATTGCTGCCACTCGCCGAGGAGGAAGGCGAGGATAAGGAGGAGGAGGAGGAGGAGGAGAACGATGAGGAGAACGGTGAGGACGGGGCGGCGGACCTGTGCAACGACCATTCCAGGTGGATCTTGTCCTTGACCGACAGTTGACCCGTGATGTCTTGTGATGAATGTCAGATTGCGCATGGATGCGATTACGGTATGGAATGCGGATGTATGTGTTGCCGGTGAGGGTGATGGTAATGACAATGATGGCGGTACATATGACGATGTTGATGTTGATGGTGATGATGAGGGGGATGTTGATCATGATAGTGATGGTAATGGCGGTGTTGATTGTGATGATGATTACGGCAGGTGACCGTGATGCATCCTGCGCTGCACCACGTATACTGCACCACCTAGCCGACACCACATAGCTTGCACCACGTAGCGTGCACATCTACAGTGCAATGGCTGACTTTTTGAGACCACGCTGGCTAGCCCGTTGCTGCTCGAAAGTTCAGGGAGCCATTTTGCTCTGCTCTATGCCACGCGACACCGCTCCACACGACCTAGGCTACCCGAGTCGAGGCGGCGCCTCTCATGCGCCTTCGAGGAGGCTGCCCTCGCCGCAGACCCCTTCCCACAACAGGTACCCAGGAGGAAGAAAAGGTACTCAGGAGGAAGAAAAGGTACCCATACTCAGGAGGAAGCAAAGGTACCCATACTCAGGAGGAAGAAAAGGTACCAGGAGGAAGAAAAGGTACTCAGGAGGAAGAAGAGGTACTCAGTCGAGGAGGCTGCCCGTACTCAGGAGGAAGAAAAGGTACCCATACCGCCGCCACCCTGCCTCGTGTTCCCGTCTCTGGGGCCTCCTGGGGAGCCCTCGTCGCCACCGCTGGGCTCGCCCCGAAATTCTGGTCAGACCGCACCCCGGGAGAGGTCCGAGGAGTATAGCGGCATTGGTGCCCTCTGCGGTTTCCCCGGGCACGCTGGTTGGCGCGTGGCCCGCGGGCCGTGGCCCCCCACACCCCCGACGTCATGATGTTTTCATTACGTCGACCCTCAGAGCTCCCGACCCTTTCCCCATGACCGGCGTTTTTTGACGCTCCCGAGGCCCAGTGAGGGCCCCCGGAGGCCCGTACTATGGCGATCGCGGCGCACCCCCGTCCCGACGTACCCCACCCCGCCCAAGTACCATTGCCCGGGTCCCCAACCCCTCCTCGGGTTGCAAAAACCATCTCCTTGCTCCCCGCTTCTATCGGTCGATCCTCCGAACTCCTCCTCCTCCTCCTCCTCCTCCTCCAAGCCACCGCGAGGTCAAGCGGTGATCCAGGGTGGCTGCAGGACTGTAGGAGGACACTTACCCCTCCCCTGCTCACACATACATGCCCCTAAAACCTTATTTCAGGGGGCGGCTCGGGGCGATGGCTACCTCTCTTGCAGTGCTGTATTACAACCCCATGCATTGTGCCGCGGACCGACTACAGGAGATATGCACAGAAGCGAGGAACTTCGACGTAGTGGGTCTTGCCGGGACGGGGAGACGCCGGCGCCCAGGTGAGTCCATGGAGATGGGCTACATAGCCAGCGAAGGGGAGGGGGGGTGCAGGTTTGTCGAGGGAGGATGGAGAGAGGGAGCAGCCTACAGCAATAAGTCTACGGGGTGTATGATTCTCTGGCGGGGTAAATGGAAGCATGCGCAGTTACTAGACACGGCAGAACCACCATCGGAACTACACGGTAGAGGTATAGCAGTTACACTATCTCTGGGTAAACAACGGACCAAATACATATGTGTCTACTATCCTCCACAACCACGTACCGCACGGGAACGCCAACAGTACATGCGTATTGTGACTGCCCTGACCGACTGGATCGACCAACAGGTCACAAGCAGTGGTACGAATACTTCAATCGTGATCGGAGGTGACCTCAATGACGGCTTAGGACAGACCCCTAAGGGTGAACCAAGGCACAGCTGGGCGGTCGGCCCTGGAGGGGCCCCAGAGCGCTTACCAGGAGGCGCGGGCCAACGAGTCCGCGAGCTGGCCGAACGACATCACCTATTTGCAGTGGGCACACAGGATCAATGGCGACCTACCTTCTTCACGGAGACCCACGCCTCTCTGATCGACTACATACTGATCCCACAGGAGTGGCGTGAACGGACTACAACGATGGGACCACTCAGCCGTATGGGACGACGACTCCAGGTCATACGCAGTCGCGGACTCCGAGATCACATACCCACCCACGTCACAGTTGCCATGAATCACCGGCCCTACTACTCGAAAGTCAGACAACGACCCAGGTGGAACCGACAGGCTCTGGTAGAAGGGGTGCGCCGAAATGTGGGTAGGACCGACTTTGTTAAGGAGGTGGAGGAGGAGGTAGCTAGGAGGGAGGAGGAGCTGGACGAGATCAGGAGGCAGGGCGATAGCAACGACACCATTGGAGCCCTCTCTGAGATTGTCTGTAGACTGGCCGAGAAACACTTCTGTAAGGATACTGCGCGGGATGACGCGTATCACCGACTCCAGCAGGACCGCCAGGCACTCCTCACCAAGCGACGAGACCTTCGAGAGCTCCAGGGAGAGGGCACCGAACAACAGATGATCAATGTAGCTTCCCGCCTCAAAGCCCTGACCAAGAAGCGTGCGAGGATGAGGAGAGAGGCGCAGCAGCGGATAGGAGCGGAGAGGGTGGAGGAGCTGTGGGAAGCTTGGAGGCGCAGGGATCTAGCAGAGGTGGGACGACTCAGTCGGTTACTTGCGGGCACGCAGTTGGGACCACGACGCCGCAACTACCGCAGTGTGATGACGAGCGTGCCGACCAGACAGGAATGGGGGGAATTCTGGAGATTGCCAGGAGGACAGGGGGGTATGGAGGCG